AACAACAACAACAACAACAACAACAACAACAACAACAACAACAACAACAACAACAACAACAACAACAACAACAACAACAACAACAACAACAACAACAACAACAACAACAACAACAACAACAACAACAACAAAATAACAACAACAACAACAACAACGACGACGACGACAGCAACAACAACAACAACAACAACAACAACAACAACAACAACAACAACAACAACAACAACAAAATAACAACAACAACAACAACAACAACAACAACAACAACAACAACAACAACAACAACAACAACAACAACAACAACAGCAACAGCAGCAGCAGCAGCAGCAGCAACAACAGCAACAACTGCGGCAAACAGCAAACAGCAAAAGGCAACAAGAAAACAACACACAACAAGCAACAACCAACAACCACCAAACAACAAGCAACAACCAAAAACCAACAACCAACAACCAACAACAAACCACAACAACAACAGCAGCAGCAGCAGCAACAAACCAGAGCATCCCTGGCACGTATTCTCAGGTTCAGTGACCAACTAATCATGCTTTGACACATGTCAGAAACATGTGCGGAGCACGCATTGCGAGGTTTCTTGGCCAACAAAACACTATATACTCGGAGGTTCTGTGACAGACAATGAATGCCTTGGCAGTATTCCACGAACATGTGTCGGGCGCGTATTGTGAGGCTTCGTGACAAACAATTCAACAATATGACAAACATACGTGCAATGGATTGAACCTAAACCATTTAGCAACCCATGTTTCATCAAGATGTCATCCTCACTTAGTCATTTTTACACAGGTCCAACCGGTTTGGCTGGGGCGACAAAAGCCGCGCCTCGAATCCTTCAAAATCCTGAGCCCTCTTCCGGCCCACCCGCGTGCGTCCAGGTGTCAGAGCCAGCTCGTCCTTGAAAGGCGCGCTCTGTTCCTGCAGGCCCTTCAACTCCTCGGCAACCTGCGGTTCCACACGAAATTCGGAAGAAAACACATAAGCGCCCAGGCGCCACATTGACATGCCCTCACTTTCAAGAGGGTAGAGCACCAGAAAGATGCCCAGGCTTGAGTGTGCGGCTTGTGGGCCGAGGGGTAGGCAATGTTACAAATGACGCTTACAAGCAAACAGATCTTTTTACCCACTTCATGCTAAACGTAGGGAGCGTTGCTTGAACTCGTGTTAAATCTTGGAGCAACCTTGCCGCTTCTCATGAAATGGCAAGAAGTTCGAAATGAATCCGTGCAAATGGCCGCTGAACCTCTGTGGAGGGATCCTTGAGCGCGCAAAGCATCAGGGCTGGCAGCACTTTCTCTCTCCATAGCTCATGCAAACGCACGTGTTATGAGCCAATGCTGCCACTCTGCCTATGTCAGATTTCCCCTGAGTGACTGTCATCTCTCGAACCCTGTGCTAAGGGATCACTTGCAACCCCTCTCTCTCTCGAACGTGGTCCAGTTCTGCAGTGTCTATTCTTAGAATGTCTCTTGATCCGAAGGGGGGGGGGGGGAAGGGGTGGGGGTTCCTGCACAACATAGCTGGGCGTCGGAAAAATCATGCAAATGAGGATGGAGACAAATGCGTGGAAGCAACGGACATGACCACAGTGCTTGATGGTTAAGGGCGGCTTCCCATTTACCCCGTACAAGAAAGGGTTCGAATCCCCAAGCCACCAACCGAAACCAGCAACTAAGGGATACCTGAAAATATATACGTATTGCGGAGAAAACACGACAAAACTTCTAGAACATCTCGCAATACTGCTTTTGGCATGGGCTGTCTGAATAGAAATCAATCTATCCCAAAGCTTCCCTAGTTATCAAACACAATGAGACAACATGCGCGGGCCATTCATGTAAGCACATAGATTAGCCCTTTCTCTCAGGGGGGTCGTTCGTTCCATCCCAAGAAGCTCCAGGAAAAAGACATGTCATTCGGGCAATTTGGGGGCCAATAATAAGTGGCGGGTGCCTGGCAAGCGCCCGTTTGAGCAAACGTTTGCTCCTTGTTTTGCGGAGCATGGCCAATATCCGCTCATGTGCAATCCCGAAAACCCAGCCAGACGGCTCGAGCGCCTCGTCCCCGACAATATCTGGCCGCTGCGCGGCGGTCTGACCGATCTTCACAAAGAACACGCCTCAGTTTGCCGTCGCCCTGAAGGACTCTCGCAGATCCAAGCAGTCTCCCAAGGACGAAAGGTCATCCCCTCCCATGCAGGGGATTTCTCCATGCCTGGGGACGGAGCTCCCTACCGTTCAAGCCGGACCGAGGCAAACCGGACGACTACTGGCGCTGAGCAGTTGTGCTGCCCAAAAGTCAGGAAATTCCGGAAAAGATGCACATGGAAGGATCAGGTATGCCTGCCATGTGCATATGAGTTGTGATCGCATGAGCCCTGCAAAGAAAGACTCGGATGCACAGAATCAACCCCCACCCCAACCCCCATTCCTTCAAGCAATGGCGCTTCTGTTGAATGAGTCAGTCTCAACAAGGCAACCGTGCGTATCCCCGACATTTCAGCACAGGGGCGCCCACCCCAAACCAAGCAATGCATGTTGTGAAGAGGGGCGAAGCACCCTCGATCACAGAAACTCATTATTCTTCGCCACTCTCTTGCTCGACTCGTCTTGGAAGGAAGATTCCCGCCTTCCCTGCCCTTCGCAAAATGCAATCTCCACTCCATCCATTTCTGAAAAAAAAATATTGGCGTCTGGACACTCGCCAAGTGGTAAGTAGGGTCCCAAGCCCCCCGATCTGCAAGGACCACACGTATAGAACACCCCAAGCTTTCGAGACCTCCCTCCCTTGGCTTCGAGTTGAGGGAAAGGGATCAAATGACCCAGACTCGAAAAAAAGAGGTGGAAGTCCCACTGTTGAGTTTGATTTGTGTGCAGATTCACTTCCATTTTAGAATTGCAGGGTTTTAGTCAACCCTTGCGTCCTTGTCCGGCTCTGTTCCCTGAACAATTAAGCGTCGGGTTCTTCTGTTTCGAACACCGGGGCCATTGTATTTGCCCTGTTCTGGCCGCCGGTTGGCGCCAATTGCTGAACCCCGCTAGGGATGCGGATTGCCAAAGGCGGAAAGGGGCTCAAAATGTTGACAACCAATGACTGGATGAAACTTCGGCACCTATTGGACGTGCAGGTGCCTGGAGCCAAAAACGCATTACAAGGACAACAAAAAAAGGGAGCCGGCAGTTTGGACGTGGCAATGGCTTGACAAGATGGCTCAAGGTCGAAGCACATTGAACCCAAGTGCCAAAAGGACATCCAGCATAAAACCCAAAATGAAACTCCCGAGAAAACCAAACAAACGCAACAGACAAAGAAAACCAAAAGAAGAGCCCCCCCTTTGAACAAACATAAGGAAGCATGTTTTTCTATTTTTTTCCTTTGAGTGCTCTGTACATGTTTCCTGTAAACATCGCCTCACCTTGAAGTTGGCCAAAAAAGTGACGTCTGCAACAGCCAACGCTGTGCCTTCGACAACCTGTTCGCTTCGATTCTCGATAGGAGTCTTTACTCAACAACTCTAGCTAGGGTAGTCCGTGTTTGTCCAAATTTCCCCTTTGGGACATGAAAAGGGGCTTGATTGAAACCAATTTGGCCACTGACCCCCGCCTTGGCCCATATGTCCCTTCGGCTATGAAATGAAATAGGGAACCCCCCGAACAGTGGGAGGACATCAGTCCCCACCATGCTGCCCACCAGCGGGTCTGAAATTAAGGTTCATATCATATCCACGTTTCTAACTTGGGTTCTCAAAGGATTCGGAAACGTCAAATGACATGTGTTTTTGTCCTCCTTTTTTTTTCGAAGCTTATGGTTCCCAGTTTGCCAACCACTTGTGCCACACCAAGCTTGAAATACCAAGCCGTCAAGTGTCGTCGGCTTCCCCCGTTCCCAACCGGGCTCCCGTGCGGCCGAGGCGCCCATGCGCTGCAGGCCCCGCCTCAGCGCCTCCCCGCTCTCGCTGGCGGCGGAGCGCTGCAGGGACACGTTCAGCGCGGGCGCCTCCTCGCGACATGCGGCCGTTGGGCTTAAGCGGCACGGACGAGAAGTGCGGGCGCGATCGCGATGGGTTTGAGTTGTGCTGCTTCCCAGGCGGTTTGGCTTCAGGGACCAAAATCCGGGGAAAGGGATATTCTGCTTTCAGCTCAAGGCCTTTGGTGGGTTGGATTTGGTGGCTTGGTTCGAACTCCTGGCTTTTGTGAGTGGGCCAGGCAATCCCACCTCGAGACCATCCAAACTATATGGGAAGCCGATGGTTGGTCGGCCCAGCAGGACATTTTGAGTAGTGACCCGTTTTTAAAGTCCGAACCTGTTTCGCGCCTTCCATGTTTCCTGGCTGGCCCAAGAACCAGGCCTCTTGCGCACCCCGGGGGCTTGACCAGAGAAGGGTAGGCTTCCAAAATCCTCCTGCCACTTCCAGTGATAGTTGGAAAAAGGGTAGGTATGCCTGTTTGTTGCCCCCCTTTCCCCCAATTTCATGTGAATTTGGCGAGCCATTTCTACAAAGGTATTTGGGTGAGCGTGCCCAACGGCATCCCGCCATCCCTTTGCTACAAGAGATTCCAACAAACCTAGATTCCAACACATGGGTAACCCTCCCCGAGAAAAAAAAAAAAAAGTTTCCCCTAAACCAATCTGAAAAAGGATACCATCAGAAAATCGCACACACGGGGAGCCTGGAAAAAACATAGAAGTCTATCAGTCCCCTTGAGAGATCCCTTGGGGAAAACTGAACGTGGACAAGACACAAGCAACATATGCGGCTCCCCTAAAGGACATTCATTTCGGGTTCCTCCGGCGTGCCTCCCAAATGCAAGGAGAACCTACAGCCCCTGTTCTGCCGGTCAACCCTTTTGAGGAGATCCCCTTGGGTTTGAAGGGGAAGCCTGAGAAGAAGCTCACATGTTTAACCACAAAGGGAGAAGCTCGGTTGTGGTCCATGGTGGGCACTTCTATTTTGCGTTGCCCACAAGGAAGGCTCCCAGTTTCGGGGGGGAGTACTGGCTTGACATCCGCTCATGGATGACAACAAAAGTGCAAAATGAAGGTAGTCTTTATATCAACTCAAAGTAGCCCAAGAAGTGAGGTGGGCTTGTGAAAACCGGTGCGTTCCAACACCTTTGAAAGAGAAAACCACCTTGAAACATGCAAAACACACAAAGAGAAGTCCACAGACCTCTCGCAAGCGCGCCAGGCCTTCTGACAAACTATTGACATTTTGATACGTGCACTTTTCTTAGGGTCAAGCATGCCATTCAGGCTGAATCAAAACAACCCAATCACTGCGCAACAAGTAGCCACAACTCAAGGGCTTTCCTAAGTGTCCGGAACTATGGCAGCTCTTGACATTTTTTGGCGGGAAGCAAAACCAGGTCACCAATCCTTTCAATGCTTGCCCAGCAGCCTGACCACCTGTAGTAACTAACCAATTAAATTCTCAAAGCTGGCACACAGTTCCTCATCCGCCCGCGCCTCCTTCTTGCGGTCCTTCCACACGAGCCAAATGCCGAAGGCAATCCTGATTGGACATCCCGGAAAGCTTGCCCATCCCTTTTGAGTGTCTCTTAGTGTCTCTTCCTTCCCCTAAACGAGAACATTGTAAGCTTGCGAGCCCCAAAGTCCACCAGCCAGAAGCCGTCTTGGGAAAGGCCTGGTCGCATTCTTGAACTCCTGGGCGATCTCCAGAAAGCAACTGCAATGGAGAAACCTTGTTTCTGCTTGCAATGATTCCTTTTGGGTTGTGGCCATGGCCACTTCTGCTTTGCTTGGAGACCATTTGAACTCACAGCGTCGAAAATGCCGACATTTGATGCGCAAAGCCCCGAGAACCATGCAGCTGTTCTACTCTGCATTTAGCCTGAGCCAATTTAGGCTAACCCACTCATCACGCAACATGTGCCAGTAAGGCAACAACAACAAAAACAATCTCCTCACAAGTGGCGCGTGCATACTGTGCTGAACAAAAGCAAACTAAGCATTTGTTGTCCACAAGCTCTTTCGAGAGGTTCCTTGCCACACACCATTGCCCCCCCTTGCCTGAACAGCCGGAAAACAATTTTTGCTGCAAATGTATCATCTTCATGTAAGCTTTCTACTTGCGGTTCACTCTTTGGAACCCCCTTCTGCACCAGGTGGGTCCCATGCCCTTCCAAGAGTCCAAAGAGTAGAGGTGAGGCGAAGGAGCAGGTCCCAGGGCCGTGCCAGAATGTACTCCAGCAACCGCTCCTGTCGATCCGGTTGGGTGTCTTTTTGGGTGTACCCGTTTCTGGGTGGGGAAACCAAAAGGACACCAACCATTCGGGGGGTCCCCTAGAAAACACACACACACAGATGGGCGATGGACAAATGAAAAATGGAGGGTCCGCACAGAAGTCCAGGACCGCTTCGGAGAATTAAAAAAAAGAGGCGCCAAAGACATGTCTCAAGAGACGACTCACAACACTTTCCGGCCGATCTCGTTGGACTCTTACCGCTATAAGTTCACTGAATGCATGCATGAAGCACCGCGAGGTTCTAGCTCCACTATGTGCTTCAGGCGCAAGGCCACCAAAAATGGAAGGGGAAAAGGGCGCTGTTCGTCCCGCGCTGCACTCAGTGACCTAATTTCCCCAACCCATGGCGACAAACGGATGGACGCTTGTAGGGCGGCGTATCTATTTGCCGGGATATCACCCGCAAACATCAAGAAAGCGAAGAAAGTGGAATTGTCTCACAAGAGGTTTCTTTTTATGTCTTCTAAAGCTACTGGAGGAGGAGCATGATCCACACGGGATATTTTCGCCCATGTTTTGGGTCTTTTCCGCGCAAGTAGCCGGCAATCTCGCTTCGGTGAGCACATGTCGTCCTTCCTGGATTCGCCGGGAGGTGGAAGTAGTGAATCTATCCCAGCATGTGGGACCCTGTTCGGCATCGCAAGGCCAAAAAACCAACCCGGTGGAGACGAGAAACCCGAACGCGGGCATGTGTAATAGGACACCGTGAGCAAACAGGCGATCACCGACCCACCCCACCCCCCCCATCCAATCCACTAGAGACATCCCTAGAGACATCTGCCGTTCCTGATCAAAGGCCGCAGCATCGCCTGCGGGCCTCTCGAAGGTCCACTCCTGACTGCGCTGCGCCCCCACCTCGGTCCCACTAGGCGTGGCAGCAAACAGAAGTTCGTCCAAGTCGTGAACGCTTTTGGAGAGCAATCTGGGTGTGAACTGAGTGGTTGTTATGGCTGCTTTTGTTTTTGAGATGAGGGGCATGCAATTTCTCATCCAACCGCAAGTTGGGTTGCTGGGCTTCGGACTGCTGCTTAAACCCACTGAAACCCGGATGGTCAAGAATTTGCCTGCTGGCTTGCATCAAAAGGGGCGCGGCGCTTTGCCTCTTACCGGATGCCTCTCAGTTTCCTTGTTGCCCCCGTTTGGGAGAAAGGGATGCCCACAACGCCAAATGTGGGATGCATGGGGATGTGCATCCTACGTCGTCCAAACCAGCTCTGGCTGTGCTTTCTGCGCTGCAAAACCGATGTCAGGCACCTGCCAAACATCAACCCTGTGAATTTCTGGAGGGAGTGTATAACACACGCAGCACGTGGAACAGAAGCTGCTGAGAAGAGTGAGCAAAAGCTGCGTGGAAAGCCAGCGAGTTCGGCCTCGGGAAAGAGATAATGATGGTTGTTGGGCTTCGCCTTTCTTTCATGGATTTAATGTATCAACTTGCCCTCTGGCAGAACAAAACGAAGCTTTTAGGACATAGGACTTGAGACAGGCCGCTGCAGCCTTCCTGCTGTCAGCATCCAGGTCGTAGTTGACCCGCACACGCCGAACAACAGCGCCTGCACTCTTGCACGGCAGCATCCCCCCGAATGAAATAATGGGGTGGCCCAGGAATTGAAGCAGTGGCATCGCATATAGGAAAGGCCCAAGCAAGCCAAACCAACCCCTTGCCATCACTGACCGGTCCAAAAGACCAGGGCGCGCCACTGCGCACAAATTAGGGTGCCGCGGTCTAGGGGTGCCAAACAAAAACGCGCACACACACACACAAACAAACAAACAAACAAACAAACAAACAAACAAACAAACAAACAAACAAACAAACAAACACACAAACACACAAACACACAAACACACAAACACACAAACACACAAACACACAAACAAACAAACACACAAACACACAAACACACAAACACACAAACACACAAACACACAAACACACAAACACACAAACACACAAACACACAAACACACAAACAAACAAACAAACAAAACCAAACAAACAAACAAACAAACAAACAAACAAACAAACAAACAAACAAACAAACAAGCAAGCAAACAAACAAACAAACAAACACACAAACACACAAACACACAAACACACAAACAAACAAACAAAACCAAACAAACAAACAATCAAACAAACAATCAAACAAACAAACAAGCAACAAGCACTCCTTGGTTTTTAGGGGTGGCCGGGTCTTTTCACCAACCCATTTTGTCCAAACGCGCATGGCAAGTCCGAGTGAGCGCAAAAATCTGCACACTTTCGCCTTCGCCTCGTGCTCTCGCTGGCGCTCTTGCCCGGGCAAGCAGCGGGACCCAGCACCTGCGGAGAGGTCCCGGGAGAGTTGCGACTTTCCTTCCACTGAGATTCTCATGGGGGCTGGGGGGGAGAGGGGGGATGGAGTCCAAATAAGCCCTTATTAAGCCCTTAACAAGACCTTATTTAGGGCTTAATTTGGGCTCCCTCCCCCCTCGTCCCTCCCCCCCTAGCCCCCACTCAGATTCCTTAGTCTTGGCAGAGCTGAACACTCAGAATGCCAGGTGTCATGGTAAACGCCGCCCCTGGCAAGCAAACCTCCAAGTCCAGGACTGGTTTTGATACGGTTGCCGTTGCCAAGTCCCGCTTTGTTTTTTCCCAGGCGACGTAAACACCCAAAACAGTTGCAGCTTCTGGGGAACTCAGGCGGCCCATAACGTTGGCTTAGGATTCATCCGGATCACGCGAGCGAGGAACACCCTCATGATAATTGACTTCCCACGCATGGCCCTGAACACGAGCACGTATTAAAAACAGCCCCTTTTCCTGGCCCATGTTCAGCTGATGCTTTAACTCCAGCTACAAAGTTTGGCAAAATATAACCACACACACACACACATACACACACATCCTCCCCCCCACCCCGGCGCCCCGCTGGGTTTGACATGCACCCCCAGCCCTGTAGATGAATCTGGCATATGAGGCAAAATGTGGGAATCACCCAAATCATCCGGTGGAAGCTCTGCAGGTGCATCCAAAGAAGACCCAAATGACCGATGCTCCTTCTGCAACTTGGTTGCAGGCCGACCAGTTTTGGCATGCCCGATTTAAGACGCCCCTCTAAAACTTTGAGCCACAAAAGCCATTGCTGATGCTCCGGTCAATATATACTACTTCCTCTCATTGTTCCAAGGGTTGCCATTCCACAGCCAGACATCAAACACATCATAGCCCCAAGGTTAAAAAGGGGAGCGCCGGTACGCCTCCTAGTGCAAACCTATCATTCATTGTGACCCTCTCCAGCACTGGAAAATAGAGAAAAATATACATGCTACAATGTCCTTTTGTTTTGCTATTGCAGTCCTATTGGCCAGACACCAAGGACCGGATTAAAACCAAAGGGGGCCCAAAAAAAAATCCGGTCTTCCAGGACCTTGTCGACCTTGTCGACCTTGACAAAGGATCAACATTTGGGGGAACCAGGGCCCAATCCTGACTTTCCGTCAATAGGCCTTGCTTCCTTTCTGCACATCGAATCCACTAAATTAGCTACCTCGAGTAGATAAACCCATTTTGAGGGTAGCATCTTCCCCACGGCCTGCAGAAGGCGAGGGGCAGCAGAAGTACTACGCATCGGCGCATGGCGATTGACAGCTGGGGGGACTCGAAAATCTGGCTCTCTCCCATTTCTCTCCTGGTTGGGTCTGTCCACTTTTTGAGGGTACCCCGATTTTGTTGTGGAGTTTTAAGGGGAAACTGCAGAAACCTTCAAGAGAACCACCACTTTGGGCCCCGAAAAAGATACCACCATTTGCGCGGGGAGAAACATTCAGCAAAGGACCTCAAAGGAGGGCCGATGTGATGGAGCCCTCTCCAACCGATTAAACCCAATACGAAACCAGCCGACTTGTTCGCGGGGTGCTTGCTTCTGAGGGGCCCCTAGACTTGTTGCTTGAATGCTGGAGCTGACTGAAAAGGGAAAGACTGTCAGGCCAAAGTCATGATACCCTCTGACTTCAGGCTGTTTGCCAACTTCGGGCTACATTAGTTTGGCCATGCAAAAAGAAAGTCTGGCTTGAAATGGCGGCCTTGCTCAAACCCAACATCGCGCAGCTTTCAGCATGTCCAAGCAAGACTCAAGCATTCGCGTGCCGAAGCTTGAGCCACAGCCATCCTATTCCTCTTTCAGCCCATCGACCCGGCCCAGGCGAAGCAGCCGTCGTGCCGAAGCTGGGCTTGGGGCCCCAAGTTGGTCCGACTCCAAGCTTCTGCATGGCCGGCCTCCTTTCTTGGATGGCGCCGCCTTTTGCCGCCTTTGAGAGGGCTAGTTTTGACACCAGGGTTTGCCAGGGGTGAATATACTCTAGTATACCAGGGGTGAACTAACGGAAAGGCACCCAACTGTAAGCTCCAAATAAGCGAAAAGCGCATTTGGCATTTAAGCCCAACGGAGCGCATGCCAAGTGCCAAGCTCCTGACTCTTTCGGTGGCATGTGCGCACGCACCGTCAGGCGAGTGTTCAGCAACCTTGCGAGAAGCTTCAGCATGCAAGAGGGCAAGCACAGCCTCAGGTGTGTGTGCAGGCAAGTCCTTCAAAGTGCCTCCCAAAGAGGGCCTGCAACATGTCAACGAGTCATGCGCAGATTCACAAGCTGGTCAGTGGCAAGACAATTGTGGCAAATCATCTATGACTGGCGGAGGAGGCACAATGCAGGCAGTTGGAACGACTTATGCGACAAAAACGCCGCTTCACCGCGAACAGCGTTTGAGCCGTGGCGGGAACGAAAGCAAGGCACTGATTGTGGATCGAGCCTACAACCTTACCTGTCAGAAAGCAGCACAAAACAGCACAGCGACTTCTGAAGAGCTGTTTTGGCTCAGCCCCACGCCCCTGGATTGCTAAGCATGGCTTACAACAACTTCAGCAGTGGTTTTGTGAACTTTCCTTGAACTGAGTTCAAAGGCCAGAGGCAGGGGGCCATTCACCCAGGCCACTTGTGCCTACACGGTGCAGCATCGGAGCATCCGTGCGCGGCAATCGCCGCGGTTCTGCATGCCAATTGTTGGATCAACTGAACTCCGGGGGGCGTCCTGTTCAGTGGGGCATTGTGTCATGTTAGGATGGTTCCTCGGATTAGTATGGTCCTCTGGGCTAATTTGAAGTTACACACTACCACTTGATCGAGGTGCAGAACATTCTTGCTCGCCCAACGCCCGCTTAGGGAGGGAAGTCAAATTGCCTTGCTCGCATTCTTTTGTTTCTCATGCTTTGGAAAGGGAGCCCTGAAGCGGTTTGCGCGTGCTGCGCAGGTTGCACAGGCATTCATGAAGATCGTTACCACCTTACACCCAAACAAACAAAAGTTGCTACTAGCAGAACAGGCAGCAGTGGATCTCAACATTAGGTCGGAGCACTGGTCGCAGGATCCATGCTGTGTGCTGCAAAGAGCCAACGATTCGAATGCTTATTTGGTGTCCGGAGAGCATGCCATGGACGCATGGCTTATCAAACCAGCAAATGAGCAACAAAGACACTTAGCTGTAATTAGGTCTATTGGTATGATCTTGGAGCGGTAAGGGGTGATACAAGGCCAAACTTGGACGATTAATCATTTTGTCCGATTTGATATTGTCAACAAACTTAAGCACATGAAGCGCGACGCATCGCCGAGCAGCAAAGGTTCGATTGAGCGCGCTGCGTTAAGAACCTAAGAAGGAATAACTGGCTACGTACATGCAAAGATACTGAACAGTTCCCATGCAAGACCAAACGAGGGGGCAAACCAGGCAGAACGCGAGGATTTGAATCAAGGAGGGCTTGGTCAAATGCTCTTGCTTCTCCAGTGGCACCATGGCCCAATGAGCCTGCCGAACCGCGGCCTGAGATATGCAGCAAGACCCAGGAACATGCGCTGAGCCCAGCGGTCGGAAAAGGCCCCGCCCGCAGGAAACGCAGAGCTTCGAACCTTTCGAAGTTCAAGAAGGGCCCTGCGGTCTAAGAACCCGGCATATCTGAAACAAAGGAACGGGGGGAGGGGATCCGAATGCCATATCTGAAACACAGGGCTGCTTCTTTTTGTCCAGCTTCGGTGCATTGGACCGTGGACACCTGTGCCAGAAGCAGCCCGCGAAATACCGCCGTCCGAAGAGAGTTTCTACCAACAGACTGAGTACAGCAGAGACTTCAGGTCTTGCTCATGCTGCCCGAACAAACGCACACGGAAAAACGCAACCCACGCATCTGCATGGCACCACTTCAGTCAGTCAGTGAAACACTGCTCCACAAGCAAAAACTCCAAATGAACCCACAGCAGTCCACACAGATGCGTATGCTGTCAACAGGATTCCTCGTTTCCGTGCGACGTTCCACAGTGCTAACACGATGAAGGTATTCATGGACGATCCAACCGGACACGGCGGGCCGGTGCCTAAGTTCCTTGTGTTTTTGTCAGAACCGTCGCGCCAATGTCTAACCTCCTTGTGGGTCATGGTCATGGATCTAAGGACAAAACCAGAGTCGATGGTCATCAAAATCTCTAGGGGTCCATGAACGTGCAAAAAGGGTCGTCTGAACAAGGCGCAAGGGATGTCGTTCCCCGACTTTGAAACCAGACATTGGGCACCGGCCTTTTGTTGAAACGGCTTGACTTGACCTCTTTGCTGGCCGTGTGAGTGCAAGCAGGACCAGACTGGCAAATGCAAAAGCCATGGAGTCTGCAAGGAGATGTTCCAGCAAAAAGCGTTCAAGCCTACCAAGGTAGCCAAGGGCTGCGGCTTTCAGTGAGCCGACCGTGCTTCACCCTGAGGTTCCCAGAAGCTCAAGTTTGCCCGAATGTTTGGCAAACGCCTGGAGATCTTACAACTCAGCAACACGTGGCTGGAGTATTCCAAGTTCTTGATCTGGTCATGCTTTGATTGCACTGATTCTCGCCCCGGAAGACCGCAAACGGGGCCACTTGAACTGCCAGTCAGCGAAGCTTCAGGGGGCCAGCCCAAGGCAAACCAACGGAACCAAATACTACGCCAATCGGTCGGCACCTTTCGTAGCCCCACACACACTGGTTCAGTTCAGTCACAGCCAAAAGGTCTGGCGGACCTCGGGTGCATCCGTCCGAGGTACTCAAATCCATGCGGTACCTTGGACTGGGTTTCGATCCATGTAAACAGGGAATCTAATAGCTTCCTTCTTCACTACTGGGAAACCTTAGCTGTCCAGAGCACCTGCCTCCGGGTCTGCTTTCGCCCCCAACT